TCAGGGAGAGGAAAATTAAGGGAAATCTTCAGGTGGCAGAGTAACCAACTCTGAGTGTAACTAATTCTGGGGCTCTGCCGCCTGGCTCCTCTGTCTTCTTGTGAATGGCTGATAGGTGGCGGCCTGCTCCACTCCCCTAGTGGGTTCTGAAGGGGGTGTTTGGGTCTCAACACAATCCATTTGCAATTACAAAATAATGATTGGTTATTTGGTTTGCAAGCAACCTCTAATCCATTTACACCAATGTACCCCAAAGCCACACCTCCTCATAATGTTAATCAAGAACTCCCAATCTACCAAGTCATAGGCCTTCTCCAAGTCCATTTTTATTGCAACTCCCCTTTTCCTTGATCTCTTTTGGGACTCCACGCACTCAGAAGCAATTAGGATTTGGTCAATTATTTGTCTATCTTGAATGAAAGCCCCTTGATATTGGGAGATAATTGAAGGGAGCACCTTAGCAATTATTTTGTAGCGACTAGTGACTAGGCTTATAGGTCTGAATTCTTCTGGATGATTGGCACCGATCTTCTTTGGGATCAAGGCTAAAAGGTAGAATTCATTCCCGAGCTGATTACCCCCTTCTATGAAATTCTCTAAAAAGTAAAAACTTTGATCAAATCTGCCTTGATAATATCCCAACAGTCTTAATAAAACGCCATTGTAAATCCATCGGGCCTCAAAGCTTTGGATCTATCCATTGAGAAAACTGCTTCCTTGATTTCATCCTCATCAAACCTTCTTTCTAGAAACTCCACTTGATTGTCTCCCGAAACCTCCCAATCAAAACCATCAACATTCCATCTATCATTAAGTGGCCTTCTATAGATTGATTTAAAGTGTTCCACAAAGACCTTTGCAATTTCATCTTGATCAGACTCATCAGAGATCTCAGACCCCCTACCGAATACCACTAAAGAGGTGATTAGACTCTTTCTTCTCCTGCCATTAGCAATGGCATGGAAAATTCTTGTATTATCATAAACAAAAAAGGAATTATAATTTCTATCCTTAAACAATGTGTTCCCAGCAAGCCAAGAAAACATTTTCCCAAAATTTTCTGAAACACTATATCTGTAGAGCTACTTTTATTCTTGAATATTCTTGCATTTCTCTCCTGTCAAATGCACCAAAAAACTGCTGCAGAAGCAATGTTCCATGCCAATTTTCCCCTCTTAGTGAGACCTTCAACTCTCCAGCTCTTACAAAGTCCACCACTGATTCTAGGCAACAGCTTTCTACCTCAAATAAATTCCCAATTTTAGACCATAGCTCAGAAGCAAATCTGCAAATTAGCAGCAGATGGTTGACTGATTCATTTTGCTCTTCACATAGAACACAGTTGGTGGAATCCAGCAGCATATACTTTCTTACCAAATTGTCCCCAGTTAGAGTTCTATCCAAATCCAAAAATAGTTGATTTTTTATGCTTCTTTTATGGAAATTTTGCTATCTGATCCCATCCACAACAGTTATGTGGCAGAGCTCTACCTAATACTTAAAACCAACATACAGATCCTCTATTGAGAGACACGAGAACATGACAGTGAGACTCAGCTGAATTTTCACAGCTCAATCATTTTAATAGGCTAAATAATGAAGATCGAAGCACCTTTTCTTGCAAAAAGGTTTGGCATTCTGGAACTTCCTCAAAAGTGGCTCTCATGGTATGGTTGACTGACTTGGGAAAATATCTCACTGTAGTAAACAATCTAAACAGGACAGGAGATGTACAGGTTTATCAAAGATTATATTTTCTGTCCATATATGGAGGATACCTCCACTAAATTTATTCTCACTGCAGTGGTGCTTCTGGGAGACCCTTGAACAATTATTTCAGAGCTGGTATATAAAGGGCCTTAATAAAAAAAGGAAGAATAGTAACTTTCTCAATTTATTCTGTTAGTATTTAGGTGCTGTGACTTGAAAGAAACTAATGCATTTTTTGGCTCTAAATACCTTTCGCATACTATAGTAGAGTATATACTGCTGCATCTTCAGACCTTTTGTACAGATACTCATTGTTCACAGGGGTTGATGTACAGGTTATAAGTTCACTTTTATAGAAATATTTTTTTATTAATAACCTAAATAACCAATCCAGTCTAACTCCTAGGCGTTTCCGGAAACCAATATCTTGTTCACCATTGCCCAATCGACCCTTAAATTAAATTTGATGCTACCATCAATACTTAACTTTCTCAAAAAGAGAGAGAGAGAGCGAGAGAGAGAGAGAGAGAGAGAGATCTTGGTGATGAAATTTGTTTATCCTAGAAGCCAACCTATGATATCTAAATTGCATAAAGAAACAAAGTCAATAAATCATTTGATGGAACCACCACTAGAAGATTTACATGAGCAACAACCCACCCCAAAAATAAATGAAAAAAGAGAGAGAGAGAGAGAGAGAGAGAGAGAGAGAGAGAGAGAAGGAGAAGAAGGCCTAGTAATCAAGTTGAGAAGAAATTTGTCTTTGCCTTCAAGTTTTTCAATTATTAGGTTAGTATAAGCAGTGCAACTCTCTTAGTTAAGAGTATTATAATATACTACATGTGAAAATGAATAATTTCTAACTCGTTCTCATTGTAGAATTGGCTGAGCTTTTCAGAGGGAAAGATGCATTTAAGATATCAGACTGTTATAAGAAAAAAGGCATAGAATAGAACAAACAAATGGAGATATTTCCCCCTTCCTATGAAAGGAGAACCACCAAATGCATGATAGTYTATCATATTCCTAGCTGCCAATTATCTAAATGGAACTCAGATTAGGCATGAACCTAAACATCATATGAGCGATGACAGTAACATTCCTAGAGTTGAAACTATCGAACTAAAAAAAATTCCGGAACCATATCAGAGCAGTTGAATCTCGGGAAGATACAAAACTATCCAAAAAGAATCTCGGGCAGATGCAGCTTATTTTTGAATTTGATAAAATATGGACATTTGGACTCAGTATGCAAATAATAGCTACTGAACCCAACGACAGGCAAGCTTCCAAGCATACATAACTTGAATGAGTTATTTTGAACGATACAGAAATAAGATGAGCCTTTCAATGCGATAAGCAATCAAGGTTTACAGGCCGCAAAATGCAAACAATCTAAGAGTTCGAAAAGAAGCTCCACCCGGCGATTATAAGAGTTCTCTTTCGAAATTTCGAGTGCTAAAAACAGCTAATGCAATTAAAAATATATGTACAAGGACTTGGGAATAAAGATCAAGTTTTTCTTTTCTTTTTTTTCGTTTTCCTTCAGAGAAACAACTACTTTTTCAGCTCCTCTTCCCTCACCAACTTAGAGGCTAAAACATTAAAGAAATGAAAGAAAAACACAAACAGAAGGAAAAACGGAAGAGTCCCAAACCTTGAATTCTGTAATTCMTCGCTTCCCTCAGCATCCCCATCACTCGGCGGAGAAGCATTGATGTCAAGAAGCCTAACACCACTCCGCTTCGTCCCCGTACAAACTGCTCCCAAAGGCCACCTCTTACTCCCCACTCCATTGTTGTGACAGTCAGCACACCGCCAGTCTTCAAGCATAATGGCCTGGCGACCCCGCATGCCGGCGCAGTTCAGGTGAAAACCGCGCTCGCAGCCGTCGCAGACCACGACGCTGTTTCTGACCTCCGAGCGACCACATGCACTGCACGCCGGCCCACGGGCTTCACCAGGCAACTCGGCCAGGTTCCGACTAGCCGGCGGGGGGGTATCAATGAAAGCCCGAACGACGGCGCAAGCGTCCTGGAAAGACGAGGGAGATTCGAGCGAGGAAGACGAGGGGATCTCATTGAGATCGATGCTAAAGAGCACCGGACGGATCTCTGGCTTCGCGTCGCTGGTGCTGCTGCTGGAATCCTTGAACTCCATTAAAGAAGGGGCTTCGATTTCAACTTCGACGGTACCCCATGCGTTCTTCGTGGCATTTTATTTTTGAAATTTCGATTTCTTTCCACGTAGCTCTGGGAAATGCGGAGGAGATTATAGATTCGAAGGTTGAGATTAAAGAAGTCAAAATTGTTTTCCGTTTCGGCTCGACCGATCGACTGAACGCAGCAGCCAAAGACGTGAGAGAAGGAGATGGAGGCAAAAACAGGGAAAGAACAGTGTGGAAATGACCAAACAGACCCACCACCGAAGTGTTTATTAATCCAACGTAGCCAAACACGCCCTTCACCCGGYCTTTTCTCTTTGCTCTGTCAATCTGTCTCGTTTCTCCAATTCTCGTCTCGTCTCTATTTTTACCATACATGGATTGTTGTGGATAGAAACGAAACGAACGAGACACTGCTTTTGAGAGCAAAAGCAAGAGTGCAATGTTATTTTGGGAACCGGAATGACATAAATACCCCTCCGGGATATTGGGTTTGATTGCTTGAAACAGGAGCACGGTATGTAATCATGAGACATGATCATAAAGTGCGGTGTACGAGTCTACTACAACTACAARAGCTTCTGTTGTGTGCACAGAAGCGGTCAGTGGACTCGGGACAGAATCACAGGGCACGTGACGTCAATCCAGCTAATGGGCCGAGGGTCTATTATGATGACTAAACGTTTTCGCAATGAGGCTGAAAAGGGCTTTTTCTCAGATTAATGGATGGTTTCTGTAGGCCCACATTGACTACACGTTGGGTCTCCAACGAGAGCCGTCTGGGCCGTGCCGTCTTGGCTGGGTCTCTGGCTTCGTTGTGAGTCTGGTCTCCGCCAACATCTGCTTCACTGCACGGAAGTGCACGGAAGAGTTATTAACAAAGAAGGGAGGAGGGAAAGTTCGCTACCATCGAGACGGAGTCCATAACGAGACCTTTTTATCTTGATCGAGCCAGCGCCAGTGTAAGAACAACAGAACACGATTATCGTACTTCTCTGTTATGGAATTTTAGTAGTTGTTTGGCATCGTGCTCGTAACATGCACCTTTTTCTATAAAAATGGTACTGGACATATAGAGTCGATTATTTTTTGTTTGAAATCGGTGTTGTTTTATATGTGTTTTTTGATAAAACATTTATTTGGTACTGGCAGCAACAAAAAGTTTTTGAGGTATTTTGTAGTGTAGATGAGAAATTGGTGGGTGTGGATTAGTCTATACCACACCCTGTGACAGAGACCAATTCACGCCATATCACAGTTCACAACTGTTCTAAACTGTGGACAAACTATATGGACTGAACCAGTCCACACCCACAGTGGCATTCTATGGGTCGACGATTTCCGTTTTGGCCACCAGTTTTCGAGTCGATGGTCCGACAAACGGACGGCCCGTTCTAACAAACAAATTTAAAAAAAATAAAAATAAAAAAATGGTTAAAAACCATTGAACGGTTTGACCACCCGGATTAACAGGTTGTTGACTTTTTCAACAATTTTTGGCAAAACTGTGTTTGGGTAAAACGGAACCGCTTGCCTAAACAATTCCGGGCCAAACGTTCCAACCGTCCATGTCAACAGCGGTTCAAAAACCTTGATTTACATAGTTAATCATAAATATCTAATTTTTGCATTTTATATGATAAATATATTGAAAAATGCATCAACRAATTAATATTAATCAATCATTATTAATTTTTATAAAAACAATAGTAAAATAATTAAAATATTCAATATTTAAAAATATTATTTTATTAATAAAACACTAAAAATTTAAAAATTAAGTAAAATAATTAATATTTTATTGACAAAAAATATTAAAATGTGAAACAAACAATAGGGTTTCAACCTTTTTCAGGGAGAGTGTGAAGCATTTGATCAAAAATAGAGTGTGGATGGGACCAGTCCACGATATAGCATGGACCGGTCCCGTCCACAACCAACCGAATGGGTGTTCATCCCGTGGACGGGATCGTTGGCAGCAACACACCATTTTCCCAAAAACATTGATTTGGTGTTGCTACATACCACACTTTCTCGATTTCCAATGCATGGTCTAGAGCAATGTTTTTTCTTAGAAAAACAAATAATTGTACCAAACAAAAAGGGTGTTGTTTGAAGCATATGTGGCGCCTACATGGCACAATTTTCTCAAAAAATGGCATTGATGCCAAACATCACCTTAACAAACGGAACTTATCATATACAAGTGACAACTTTTTGTGTTGACTATTGCACTTATATAAATATGCATATGGACCGGTTGTCTAGATCCTAGTGGAATCCAGCTTTTCCCTAACATTGGGTGGGATCGAATCAGGGGAGCAAGGTTTAGCTAAACGCTTTAGCTGTTCAACGGGCTGTGGAACTAATGATAAAGTTTCACGCCAGTATTAAATACAAGGGGCCCGCATCTTTTTATAGTGGGGCCCATGAATTTAATATTAGCTTAGAACCTCATCATTGGTTCCACATCCCTTTGAACAGCTAAAACATTAAGCTAATCTAAATTCGAATTAAGGTGATCATGGGCCAGTCGAGCTTTGCACCTATGACGAGGGCTATGACATAGGTCCCAGCCTAGCCAAGCCCAAGTTTTGGGCCTAAGACATAAGCTGAGTTAGGTCTGGCTTGGTTCCGAGTTTGTAGGGGTGGCAAATGGGTAGATTGGATTGGGTTGGGTTGGGTGAGGGTTGAGTACCAACCCACCCATATTTATGGGTCTTAGTGGGTCACAACCCACCTTGACCCTGACCCACCCATATGACCTTTTAACCTAATGAAAAGATTATGAAATTACAAATATTTTAGCCAAATAAAATACAAATATTAAGAAAATTAAGAAAAACAAAAATAATAAAACACACAAATTGACATAAATTTGCAAAGAAGCAATGATTGTAGAAAAAAACACAAATCGATAAAAAATTCAAGAAAAATAAACATGGAAGAAATAAAATTTAAAAAATTCATATTTCAACCAATAAAATAGAAAATTAATAAAATAAATAAATTGATAAACATCCAAAATAATTATATATTTCAAAATTTAAACTCAAAATTACTTTTCATAAAAAAAAAACTTTGTAAAAAAATAAAAGATTGATAAAAAATATCAATTGTGCGAACAAGCTTCGTCATTTGTATTGCAAAACTCATTCTACTTCAACTCAACTTCCATCAACAATGGCACTTCAATTTATCGTTGCCACTGTTTGCGGTGGTGCTACAACCAGCAAAGCCCAAATCCCATCTTTACCGTTCTCAAATACCAAAACCTGATTTAATTCGTCAAAGATCTGAGATATGAAGAAACAGTGGAAATAGGCTTTTGTATGGATGTGGAGGCAGATAACCTGATCTTAGCTACCATCCACTCCTATTCAAAAATCAATTTGAAGACCACAGATCATCAATCGCTTTTGTAAATCAGCTAATTTTTCAATTTCATATCAACCAATTTCCATATGAATCAAAGCTCAGCCATGAAACCTAAATCCTTGTGCCAAACCATAGGGCCCATTCGAGATCGAGAGAGAGAGTGTGTGTTGTAGTTGTATAGATAAGAGAGAGAAAAAACGTCCTCTGTTGCATAAATGAAACTTGCTTACCTCAAGCCTTGACCGGCACAGCTCACCCTGAGGTTATCCGAAAATTTGAATTCATAGTAATTTCTATAATAGTTTGAAACCTAAGAAGCTCACCYTCACAACCAAGTGGGTACTCTCGACCCAACCCACCCTGACCCTTCTACCCTTGACCCTAATGGGTCACTTGACCCACATTGACCCCTTGTTCAAATGGTGGGTAGGGATACAAACGGATTGGATTGGATTTAAATCAGGTATATTTGAATCGGATCCGACATTGTTCATGTCAGATCGGATCGGATCTGATAGGACTTGATTTGAATTCAAATCCTATCAATAAGTTGGATCTTCGGATCTAATCCGATCCGACTTGTATTCTTTAGAAATTAATAAATTATTAAAAGAAATTAAAAAATACTAATTTAAATAAAGTAAAAACAAAAAATACAAGTATTTTTTAATTATTTTCATCACATATATACATATTTTTTATAACAAATTTATAAAATTATATTTATAAATACTAGCAATTAAGCACGTGCGTTACACGTATGATCTTTTTTTCATATTAATTACTTGAATTTTAGATATATCATAGTTAGGATAAAAATTGAAAGTTAATAAAAGTAACAATATGGTTAAAATAAACTTAAATACTTGTACTAAATATGCACCTATAGAAATTTTAAATTACAATTATTATTATTTATTATTATTAGTAGTAGTAGTAGTAGTAGTACTACTACTACTACTAAATTTTATATTCCATTTATGTCTTAAATAAAAATATTTTTTATTTTAATAATTGTTTTTATTTAATATGATGATTATATAACATTAGAAATGTTCTGAAATGTCATTGACAAAACTCGGTACTTTTTTTATCTTTTGTGTTCTATCTTTTTTAAAATATTTATTATTCAATTATGGCATCATGAATTTCTTTGGGAAGTTGGATCATTGACCCACCATTTAAATAAGAAAATAGATTTGCTTTCGGACCAATTTCAAATTATATATTTCATCTACATTATATACATAATTTGTACTTATCACACTTAATTTTTGTTTGACATAATTAATATATATTTTTTTGTATATTCTTTTGATTACTTTTACTTTTTATTGTTTTCAAATATTTATTACTTAACTATTATATCATCAACTAATCCATTTGACTCAAACCACCAACCCACGACCCAAAAAGAAAAATAGTTTGATTTTTAGGTTGATATTAAATTTTGTATTACATTTCCATTATTGATAAAATTATCTTATGTATAATAATTATTTTCGTTCAATATAATGAATGTATAATATTATATATGTACCCAATATTTTATTTTTATAAATATTGATGATGTGCGATCCGGTCGGTCCTAGCTGCCGGTCCTATAGTTTTATAAATATAGATTTGGCCAAGGGGTCGGGCCAAATCTCCCTCCATCAAATATATAACATTATATCTTAGGGTAAAATAGAAAAACCTCCCCTTAAGTTTTTGATAATCATAAAATCCTCCCCTATAGTTTCATTTTAGCAAAAACCTCCTCTCTATTTTTGACAAAATCAACAAATACCTCCCTTCCGTCAATGACCAATACCGAAAACATTCAAGAGATTACCATTTTTTCAAAATACCTATTTTACCTTTTCTCGAACATTGTTCACCTTCTTCCTGACACGCACAACGGCAGAATGGCGGTGCCCCCCTCCAACGTCCCCTCTTCTTTAATTTCCCTATGATTATCTCTCTCTCTCTCTCTCTCCCCCCAACAATGGCAGAATAACAGTGCATT